AAAAAAAAATAAAAAAAATATGACAATTGCGCCTTTAGCATACCTTCGCATCTTTCTACTCCTGGTCCACGTATCGAAAAAAACTGCTTGCAAGGAACTGAAGATGTTTCCCGAGCAGCATTTCAAAGACATACGACTCTGCATAGGAAAATCTCTATCATGTATTAGTGTGTGCATTAATTTCCGCCGCCGAATTCAAAGGATCGTTGCGCGAACCATGTTAGAGGTTTACGGTGAAACCTGTCATATTCTGTAAGGTAGGGTATTGGCTACCGACTCAGGGGCAGACAGATCAGTTTTTCCTCAAAATCCCGCTGCTCTCAGGCTGATTGGTCATGGAACGTAATTAACCGTTTTTTCCGAGGGCCCTTCTCCTGCTGTTTAATTTCAAGAAAACTAGCACTGAAGCCCACCGGATGCTTTTCAATACCTATGGAGGACAAAATCCATCTGAACGAACCTGCTGAGATGGTTTCTCTTCACCGAGAGTTTGCAACGAACGCGGAATGTCCATTGNCAAAAAGTAATGCTGTGTGTGCATTTGGTGGTGAGATGAAAAGGGTGTTGTGTACTATGAGCCGAACGAAGCTGTTACTGCTGACCGCTACGAACACCAACTTGACCGTTTGTAGGATGCTCTCACCCAAAGACGGACGGCCGTTAATATCAAGAAAATATCATGAGGTGCTGCTCCACCACGAACATGCCAGTCCCCATGTTGCGGAGAATGTCCTTAAAAAATTGCAGTTGTTGGATGGTATCAGCTTGTTCGGCCCGCATACTCTCCGGATCTCACTCTTTCTGACTACCACCTATTCCGTCTATGCAAGTCAGTTTGGCAGATGTAATTTTGTAATAAATATGTTTTTGCACGCAAAAAACGGCGTGAATTAATGCACACACCTAATACTATCTAAAAGGTCAACACTCCCAGCCGAAGACCGTTGCAAACATTGTTTGGTTGTTTTTCACGAGCTTTTCACGTTTTCAAAATCCGCATATACATACATTAAGGGAAATCTCAGTGGGAAATATATTGGGTGATTTCAACTGTTATAACGTATCTAAGAGCACATTGCTTAACTCTGAAGTCCAGGTGTCCAGTGGAAGAGTGCAAAGTGATACGGAAGAGAAAGTGCGTCGTTGCCCTGATAAAAGATGGTTAGAGTTGAAGAAAATAAGGTTTCGAGAGCCTTGGAAACGCCTTCACCGGCAGCACCGCCTTCAAGTAGACTGGCTTGGATCGCCTCGGCACCTTACCGACGCTCCTGATTCTTATCGGGTCTCCTTCCCTACAAACATAAAGAAATATTCGTTTCTTAAAAACTGCTCTAAAGAAAATGTCACTCGGTCGATTTCGTTGAGCGATTCCTTTCCCGCAACAGCGGGCTCACTGGAAGGAGCATATCTAAGAGAAGGCAAAAAGTAGACCTCTGGCTGCAAGGAACTCCAAAATTATGGGCTTATTCATTGCAAAGTATCTCGAGCTTTTAATTGTAAGCTGGGAATGACTATGAAATCGACATACACATTCGATACTTTGTGTGCAACAATAATATCATACTTCAAAGCATCCTTCATGATCACGGGAACATGCTCAAGTTTGTTCTCGAACTTCTCACAACCAGACGTTGCACATAGATATGCGTGCCCATTGCTTCCCAGTCTTTCTTCATTCCTCCTGCTAAGGATTCAAGCCAGAGCGTCAAGCTTAAAAGTTTTCCCTTTCGAGTAGGGAACAAGAGAGATGTCAAAAGGATTAAGATATGGTGAGCAGGATGGTCACTCCTCGGTGCTAATGTGGACGGGCAATGACGTTGGCCGTCTTCCTTGCACGAGCCTGGGTCTTTGCGCTGGTGTGTCGCCTTAGAATGTTTCAGAAGAGGGAATCTTATTGATGCCTCAATGTGCCCATCAATATGCTCTTTCGGAGAGGGTCTTTCGGTTGCTTACTGCCATCCAAGAACCGACGAAAACCAACGACGTCTCACCAATATACCTCCCAAAAGATTAATCTGCTGTTCCTATCAAAGAAAACGACGAGGAATGGGTGCTTTCACAGGAGGGTCATTCTGCATTTTTGTTGACTCTATATGCTGTCTATTGTCATGAGAAATGAAGTGCTTCCTCTGCTTAAGGTAGGAGTGGTGATGAAACTTCCTCTTGACAATCTGCCTCATCACAAACTTCGATGAGTTCAACTCCCATGTCATCTTTTCGATGATGACCTAAGATCAAGTCCAATTCGCGAAGGACACTCGCCCTTCTCCACTCTTTCTGGTGTCTTTATGATTCGCCCTGCTTCTCTGCATCGTNTCTGCTGTTCCTATCAAAGAAAACGACGAGGAATGGGTGCTTTCACAGGAGGGTCATTCTGCATTTTTGTTGACTCTATATGCTGTCTTGTCATGAGAAATGAAGTGCTTCCTCTGCTTAAGGTAGGAGTGGTGATGAAACTTCCTCTTGACAATCTGCCTCATCACAAACTTCGATGAGTACAACTCTAATGTCATCTTTTCGATGATGACCTAAGAACAAGTCCAATTCGCGAAGGACACTGGCCCTTCTCCACTCTTTCTGGTGTCTTTATGATTCGCCCTGCTTCTCTGCATCGTTCTGTGGAATTTCGCGCGACCCTGATCGGAACCCTGGAACAATTTCAGTCCTCTAGCTCTTCACATTGAGTTTCCAATCGTACTGACTGTGCTTTTAGCATTTTAGTGGTTTTAGGACTGTCACCTCGGGGTGAATATGCAGGTTATTCGAAAACCTACCTGTGCAACTACATATTAGAGGTAAAGAGTTGACCGAAACGTTACTGCGTCCCAACTTTCGGAGCAAAAAATGATCGGCTATATGGAACTGAAATGTCTTTCACGCAAGTGAGGTGGAAAAAGTGTCTACATGATATGCATTTACCATTTTATTCTGAAGAAGTAACATAGATTCGCCCGTACTCCTCGGATTTCAGTGGGCCAGCCTTCGAGTCACACAGCGTCCTACTACATCTGACCACCACTCACTATGCGAGGGCTTTTTCTCACCATGGGTTCATTAGAATGATTCCTTGCTTTCAGGAATTTATCAGAGCCATTAGCTTGGTAAATGTGTAACATGGGATGTCTCGTTGCATAAGTAATGAAAGCGGTGAAACTTTGGTCTCTATAAAAAAGTGTGACTCTTGTTCATTCTTTCCATTTTAATCTGAATCTCAAATCTGATCATCGTGATGGTTTGCTTCTATCTTTTCTTCTAGGGAATCGATGCCTGAACCAGTGAAATCAGAGCGTATACAGTGGATCTCCTCCATGTCATGACAGAGTTTGTAAAATGTACCTCACGCCGCATAGACCATCATGTTAATACACAACTAGTCATACAGAATAGAATTTCATGCTTCTCAATTTTCACATTTATTAAAGTATATATCACTCTAGCCGGATCTGCACATGTTAAAAAATCTTCTGTAGGTATGCCAGTCTACTGTCCTTTCACCTTGCTGTAGAATTTGTAAGAGCCGTTCTTGCCTTCACAGCTGAAAAGAGTCTTTCAATCTGTATATTTGATATCTGCAGCGCTTTTGGAAGAAAACGTTGATTACTTTGGAAATATCTTCACAAATGAATGTGGTTTATGCAAACTTAGACCATTTGCGGGGCTATGGCACCAGTTACCTGTGTACAATTTAGCTCTACGTGGAGAAACATTCCAACCTTCGGAAAATTTCCCTTTTTTTGAGTCTAGTGAAGGTGTAAATTCAACCAGAAGCCCCACGAAATTCATTAAGAAATGCGGCCTTATAACCAAACAAGTACTTACTGATACTCGAGATTCTTGTGGTCCACCTGACCATTGAGAGGAATCAATTGGTCAACGCCGTCAACCTGTAAACTTTCAATAGATTGCCCTCATTTATGACTAAAAAGTAGACGAAGAGAGTTCAATCAAAAATGTCTCACCTTGCATCCTGTGATCTCGACTCGCCCCCGTGGCTTGCACACTTTTTCGAAGTATTTGTTCTCGACCCATCGCTCACCTAAATTCTTCGCTCGTCTTCTGGGTGTGGGTGGTTTTTAGGAGAAGAAAACATTTGAGAGGCTATGGTTTGAGATTCTGGGCGGAGTGAGATTCATATCAACGTATTCACCTTGCTTCCTTTCTCTGCCCTCCCCATCCTTACAGCTAGCATCAACTGCTTTGTCGATAGCCGCCATGGTTATCGTGCCGTTCTCGTGTTTCTTGCATTCCATTTCAAAGCCATCTACCTTAAACAATTTTTTCTCTTTTTGAGCAAATCTGTGACGAAACAAGTATCCCAAACCGAACATTCCAGACACACCTATCGAACTGCGTTCGCACGACAGACCTCAGCGCACTACCCCGCACTTCTCGCTCGGATTCTTTGGACTCCCTTCACATCATTTACTGTTCGATTGCCCCTTTGCTTGTCTTTTTGATCAGCTGGTTTCCAGCAAAATAGCAACAATCCAAACAAAAACGGCAAACAGTTGCAACCCCAAATTTTAAATACCTATTTTCGGATGTAGAAAAGTCTTCCATAGTACATGATTATCTAGCAAGCCAACCTAATGCCGATAGAGTCTAAAAATGCTTAGGGAAGTCACGCAACAGTTAATTCTATGAAAGATAATGCTCATGGGAAGTGTGTCCGTTTCAGGTAATCATTTCCCAAAGGGTGAATACGCACACAACTCCAGAGCGAAGCAGAAGGAGCGGCAAGTGGAACATCCAAGGACATCGATATGAAAGCGAAGGGAACAAGGAATATCCAACTTCACTCATATAATTTTAATGTAGTTCTTGCTTTGCTTTACATTTTAGGACCTGTAAGTTGCACGGGAAGAATGAGCATCCAGTCTCCGATAACGCTCTTAGGCAAAGTGTGGGGAGGCGAAACTTACGTGCCTTCGAGGATGCTCATGGCAAACTGCGCGGTGAAGTTCGTGGCGATTTGAACAACTTTAGAGCCTATTATTGGGGTCCAAGTTTGAGTACAGTAGTTAAGAAGGAGCATCTGACCCTACTAAACTACTCTACTTCAAGTTTGTGCCCCGAAAATTGGCGTCAGAGTCGTACAAATCGTCACGAACTTCGCCACACAATCAGCCGCGCGCCCTCGGACGCACGTATGTACCCANTGAATCTCAAATCTGATCATCGTGATGGTTTGCTTCTACCTTTTCTTATAGGGAATCGATGCCGGAACCAGTGAAATCAGAGCGTATACAGTGGATCTTCTCCATGTCATGACAGAGTTTGTAAAATGTACCTCACG